CTTCTCCACCCCTCCCTTCCCGTACACTTGGCTTCTGATGCAGGCTGGAGAAGCGCATCCCAGCTCCGTCACTCTCCAGCCCAGCCCGGTGGGTCTGGAGGGCCACGCTTTGATCTCCAACAGCACATTCCACTCGCTCTTGTCTTCCTGAGAGACCGCCACCCGCCAGGCTCTCCGTTATTTATGTGTAACAGTCTGCGTTGGCCAACAGGGTTGACTCCACGTGTTTAGGAAATCTCATTCAGATAAACGTCAGGATTGGTACCATTCAGTCTGACCTACTGGAGTAGTTCTCTGAAACTGCAGTAAATTAGTTGAAGGTGAAGATGGGCAGAAAAATTCTCTCCAGCCTCTTGGGTAACATGTAACATGTTACCTGGCATGCTTGAGCATGTTACTACCTTTCTTTTCCTCACAGAGTACATCCACAAGCGTGATGTATGTCTTCAAGAATTACTGCAGGAATGCGTCTTGCCTAATCCTTCACAGCATCAGTTTGTGTATTACCTTCTCTGAGAACAGCTTTTAAGAGGTTCATCCCAGCAATAAGTGTGTCCTGGTTCTAGCCTTATTTAGGTTTCCTGAAAGATCTAGAAGTGACCAGTCTCCCGTGCAGTCCTTACGCAGGCTGTGGCAGATAGCATCCTAAATTCTAAATCTGCGGGTGTCCATGAGGTTTCCACTCTGGTTTTGAAATAGGTGCTTGATTTGTTCGTTTTCTCCTTGAAGCACAGTGTTTTCATTTTGAGCCCCTGGTGTCTGTCACACGTGTGCATGTTCATTTCCCTAATTGCTTTCCTCTGTGCATTTCTCCTGCCTTCTGTGTGATTTCCCCGCCATCGTTAGTTTGTATATTTTCTGCAGTGTTGATTCTAGTCTTTACTGCTTTTTAAAATTTTTAGTTTCGTCCCGCCATTTTTCTCCTCTGCTGCTTTTGTTTATTAAGAGCTAGGCGGCTCCCTTCAGGTGTCCGTCATCTTCATCTTTGCTCTCCGATGTTTTATAAAGTCCATCATTTTTTGTTTTCTCTGATTTTTCCCTGCTTTCTTTCAGAATTTGATTTTTATTGTAGTTTCCTATCTTCATTTTCCTATGAAATTTGGATAGGCCCAACATCAGTTTTTAAACAGATGGTCTAGCCAGATATGTTATTTGCCAAGACAGTGTGAATATATAAGCTTAACCTCTTTCTGTCCTGAGCTGAGCAGTGTGTCTTCACACCAGAATCTCAGCTGCAGGGTTTCTGAGGACTGTGGTTCAGTTAGCAGCCCGAGGGATTGGAGGAGGAGCAGGGCTGTGTCCAGCTCTCCTCTGGGCACCCTGCCTTCCTGACCTTCTGGGGCTTACCCCATCCCCTGGGGTGGCCTTTGGTTTTTCACTCTGTCCCCCATTGGGGTACCAGCCCTTTAGAGAAATACCCTCAGACAGGGTTGCTGGCCTTTTGGTCAGTGTGGTTGTGGACACGGTGTTTTCCTTGCCCGACCATGCCAGCCTCTGCTGCCGCAGGATGGGAGGAAGTCCAACGACAGGCCTGTAGTGACTGCAGCGAGTGATGGGGTTTCGGGGTTAAGTTTGCCACAGGATACAGGATGGCCTGAAAGCCAGCAGAAACATAACCATCCATCCTGTTATGAGACCACTCGAGGAGGAGGATAAAGAAGTAATTAGCCCCTTCAGTTGGCTGGCGTTTGGGAAGAAGAATTTGTTTATGTAAAAAGGATTACCAGTCACTCCTAAAGGAAATCAACCATGCATATTCACTGGAAGGACTGACACTGAAGCCAAAGCTCCAATACTCTGGCCAGCTGATACGAAGAGCCGACTCACGAAAAGACCCTGATGCTGGGAAAGATTGAAGGCAGGAGGAGAAGGGGATGAGAGGATGAGATGGTTGGATGGCATCACCAATTCAATGGACATGAACTTGAGCAAACTCCAAGAGATGGTGAGGGACAGGGAGGCCTGGCATTCTGCAGTCCATGGGGTCATGAAGAGTCTGACACGACTTGGCAACTGAACAAGAACAAGAAAAGGGACTAAGTTGGTAAAAAGTTTTTTTTTTTCCATTTATTTTTATTATTTGGAGGCTAATTACTTTACAATATTGTAGTGGTTTTTGCCATACATTGACATGAATCAGCCATGGGTTTACATGTGTTCTCCATCCAGATCCCCCCTCCCACCTCCCTCCCCATCCCATCCCTCTGGGTCTTCCCAGTGCACCAGCCCTGAGCACCCGTCTCATGCATCCAACCTGGGCTGATGATCTTTTTCACCCTTGATAGTATATGTGTTTCAATGCTATTATCTCAGAACATCCCACCCTCGCCTTCTCCCACAGAGTCTAAAAGTCTGTTCTGTACATCTGTGTCTCTTTTTCTGTTTTGCATGTAGGGTTATCTTTTTAAATTCCATATATATGCATTAGTATACTGTATTGGTCTTTATCTTTCTGGCTTACTTCACTCTGTATAATGGGCTCCAGTTTCATCCGTCTCATTAGAACTGATTCAAATGAATTCCTTTTAATGGCTGAGTAATATTGTATATGTATATTGGTGTATATGTACCACAGCTTCCTTATCCATTTGTCTGCTGATGGGCATCTAGGTTGCTTCCATGTCCTGGCTATTATAAACAGTGCTGTGATGAACATTGGGGTGCACGTGTCTCTTTCAGATCTGGTTTCCTTGGTGTGTATGCCCAGGAGTGGGATTGCTGGGTTGTATGGCAATTCTAGGTAAAAGGTGTTTTTTTTTAACTCATTATGAACAACTTAGGTGTTAGATAGTATAAAAGAGCCAGCGTTTATTTAAAGATTTGGAAATACATATACATATTTCTGACACATTATTTACTTTTTAAAATTCTCTTAGTAGATTGTATATTAACATTAATATAATAAATGTAAATATTCTTTAAGCTAATAATGTGTGTGTCCACATGTAACTTCAGCTCTTCAGTATGCTGTGTTGTCTCTTGTCTCAGACTTCGCCAGTGCTGTGATGTCTATTGACAAGATTCTTGCCCACCCTCCCTTCTGTGTCCCATCTGTAGACACTCTGTGAATCACTCTAGTAGGAATTAGTGTTTGTCTTGTTTCCTACCAGTTTCCTACAAATACTATCCACTTGATAATATATCAAATGATAATGTATCTGCCTCATGTATAAAGTGTTCAGAAAATATGATGAAATTCAATTTTCTGATGACTAGAATGGACTTGTGTGATTAAGACATGCCTCTTGAGGTATTTTGCTAGTAGTAATTTCATGGGGAAGAAAAGGAAAGATGTGAACAGGCAAGGTCTCAAGGAGACAGGGTGCTGTCATGCAGTGTTACTGAGTGTCCTGTCTGCACCCAGTGTTTGGCAGGCACCGCTGTGCTGTGCTTAGTCACTCGGTTGTGTCCAACTCTGTGTGGCTCCATGGACCTTAGCACAGGACCTCTCTATCCATGGAGATTCTCCAGGCAAGAATACTGGAGTTGGTTGCTATGCCCTCCTCCAGGGGATCTTCCCGACCCAGTAATCGAACCAGGTCTCCTGCATTGCAGGCAGATTCTTTACCAGCTGAGCTACCAGAGAAGCCCTAAAGAAGCATAAAACTAGCTGCTCAAGGAAACCAGTTGTCACATTGTAGGGAGAGAATTAATACTGGTCAAAGGACTGAGCTCAGCCATAAGGAGCTATTGATGGCTTTGAATCTGGAGAGGTTTAAGCAACTGGAATCGCTATTTTTTCTGTTTGAGTTGCAGTCAGCACTCAGTGAGCATGACTTGTATGTGAGCGTGAAGAGGAAATGATATGTCTCGGAAGACGCTGTGGTCCAGGTTAGCGCGCTGCCTTCAGGAAGCATCCTGAGGGCCGTGTGCTATCATAGTTCACAGATGATGCATCTGAGTCAGGGTTACTGTTTTGACCTTAGCATCTGCGCTGTGCTTGCTGGTCTGTCACCCTCTTCCAGTCTGCCTGGAGTGCCCCGTGTGGGTAGGAGGGTAGTGTGGTGCTGAGGAGATGGAAACACTGTTGAGTTGGACACACATGGTTTTACCTATCTCTACCATTTTGTCCACAGTTTTCATACCTACTGTGTGTCTGCTGTTCAGTGACTGTGAGGGTCAAATATAATTCATGGAGAATACTTAATAGTTTAGCGTGAAGCACACAGCAAGTGCTCAGTGGCAGGTTAGCAGTAGCTGTCTCCATATTGTCTCTGTGGCCTAAAATACTGACTCTTCCAGTGACAGTATTTTACCCATTTCTGTTCTTGAAGCACTTTCCATGCATTGTGTGAATACACTCCTGAAACAGGGCCCCTTATCAGACAGGCTGTGCTTTATCTTCACCTGATCTGCTGCCTTCCTGACTCTCTGAGCCTCTCCGCCTTGCGGTCCTGGAGCACACCATGCCTGCTCCCAGGCATTTGTTCTTTTTTCACCTCCTGCCTGCAGAGTGCTCCCTCCCCAGAGCACCTGGCTCCCGAGCTGCCTTGCTTCACCTCCTGAATGTCACCTTTCCCTGTCCATCCTCTGTGACGTGTTCTCCTTAGCACTTCCTTATCCAGCTCTGTCCCCCTTCATGGTGCATCTTACTGCCTCACAGAATTTCTTGCATTTGTTCTTTGTTGCTCTCCTATTTGGGGCTGTGGGTTCACCGCATCTCTGCTTTGTCTCCAGTGCTCCAGTAAATCTCTCTTCAGTAAATGACTTCAAAATTTGGAGGTTGTGAGACCTAACGACTAAAAGTACTCTTTAAAGATTATTCCGACTCTTTAAAGATTGTTTGTGTCCAACTCTTTGTGACTTTGTGGACTGTAGCCTGCCAGGCTCCTTTTTCCATGGAATTCTCCAGGCAAGAATACTGGAGTGGGTAACTGTTCCCTTCCCCAGGGGATCTTCCCAACCCAGGAATCGAACCCAGGTCATTTATTCCAGAAGTATCTAAGCTGGGGACTAATGCCAGGAAAAAAACCTAAAATTTCGATTTCTTTTTCTTTTAGAGAAGTGTGAACTCCGGAGAGATTACAGGAAAGCCGTCTCCTCGTAAACAGCGCTTCATGCAGTTCTCGTCCTTGGAGTATGGTGGGGAGTACTACATGACACCCCGGGACTTCCTCTTCTCTGTCATGTTCGACCACATCCAGCGTAAGTGGTTTGGTTTTTGAAGTTAAGGAATCAAATGTTAGGGCTGAAAAACCTCTGGTTTTCAGAATTGTAACAACTTTTTCTTCATTTTAATTATCATCATTCTTTGTACCATGCATGTGCTTAATTATTTAAACTTTTCCTCCCTTGTAGTACTGAACTTATTTATCTAAGAAATAGTTGCTTGTTCATGGATTTTTCTAAAGAGAGAAAAAAGTAAGGTTTTAAATGTCACTAAATAAAGTATTAATAGGATAACTAATTCATCCAGGATGTTAGGTTTTAAATCAATAAAACATTTTCTTAAAAAAAAACATTTTCTTTTGGGGGCAAAAAAAGAAACTAGACTAAAGCAATTAGGAGAGTCATATAATGGAGTCATGATGCAAAAAACATCCTGCAAAAATAGAATTAAGAAGCAGAACTCCAAAACCTATAATTAAATAATTTTATTTCATAAACTGTCAACTCTCAGCTATCCCAAATTGTCAGCAATCCTTATTTTCATTTATCTTAACGTTGCAGAGAGTAGACATGGTCCGCCCCTGTCCCCTGTATTGCCAAAGTGTTCTGTGAAAAGTTCTTGGCTTCCTGACACCTTGCAGAGTGGACACCATCCACAGTGTTGCCCTGTGGGTAGCTGCACATGGAACAGGCGGAGTGGGCCAGGGCAGGATGAGCTGTGAGATGTGAAGGTCTAATTGGGAGACTGAGAAGATCTGGGAAGGCATTATTGGTATTGAGGGATGACTTGAACAAATGAGTGGTCACGGCCTGTTCCTGGGACAGTGAGTTCACCTATAGCTAGACCGGACGATGGTCCTGGGGAGAAGTGAGAGGTCAAATGAAAAACAACAAGGGCCAGGTGTAGAGATTGTAGTGACCCTGTTCACCAACCACAGACGTGTGTTTCTGGTGGGGATGGGGGTTCATCTTGAACCTGTGAGAGAGACTGAAGTGAAGGCTTACGAGAAGGAAAATAGTGTGGTAACAGTGTATTTAAATTATTTTGGTAAGCTTCTATTCATCTAAATTGATTAAAAAAAAAAAAGCAGCCAGTTATGTTACCAGCAGAACAGTTTATTTGAGAGAGGTAGAGAATTGCAGTTTGGGACATGCATCAGTGATAAATCACAAGCAACCTAAAGTGAAGGAGAGAAACTGTCTTATGGAAGAGAGGGCAGCTCTGGGGAAACTGTCTTAGAGAAGAGAAAGGACAGCTCTGGGGAAACTGTTAGAGAAGAGAGGGCAGCTCTGGGGGCCTGTTATCAGTAAGGACTCCAGGGAACTCCCTGGGGGTCCAGTGGTTAAGAAGGTATCTTCCAGCCCACGGGACACAGATTCAGTCCCTGGTCCAGGAACTAGGATTCCATATGTGTCGGGCCAACTAAGCCCACCTGTCTCAATGAAAATGCAGAACAGCCAAAAATATAAATAAACAGTCCACTGGAGGAAAGTGGGGGTTTGAAGTGCAGTGACTTTTCATTGCCTGGCCAGGAGAAAGTATTTCTTCTTCCTGCTGGGATCTGCGTGGACATGGGTGTTGTGTGTGTGAGCACCCCCACCCTAGCCTCCAGACTCACACTTCTTTGGAAAAAGCTTGACAGTATGTATCAGAAACCTTTGCAACATTTATTAATACTTATATCGATGCAATAAGTTCACTTCTAGAAAATTAGTCTAAGTAATTGGAGAGATACAAAATTTTCTTTTAAAAAAGTAGGTTAGCCTCTTCAACAGGTAAAGAGCGTGGATGTCATCAATTCCTGTTCTCACAGCAAAAAAGAAGCTGAAAGATAGAAAATCAACAGCTCTTCTTAAGTCCACAAGAGAATTGAGACCGCAGGGCACACACACCTGAACATTGAAGAAGACAGACACAGAGACAGAGCCCACCCAGGGTGCATGCTGCCTGGAAGCCACTGCCAGAGCCAGCATCTGGCAGGAATGTTTTAAAAGTTGCTAGAATCTGAGCATGGGCTACCATGAAAGATAGAAATTTGTGAAAATCTAGCCATGAGGGGCCCCAGCAGTCCTCACAGTGAAGATCTAAAAAAATCCTCTCCTGGATTTTTCATGATTTCCTTTTTTGTGCAAAAGCTATTAAGTTTTATTAGATCCCCTTTTTTTTTTCATTACTCTAGGATTCAAATCCGAAAAGATATTGCTATGATTTATGTCAGAAAGTGTTCTATCACCTGTATTTTCCTCTAGGAGTTTCATAGTGTCAGTTTTACATTTAGGCCTTTAATCCATTTTGAGTTTATTTTTGTGTTCATCCTGCTTGGTATTCTGTGAGCTTCTTGAATCTGTGGTGTGTGTGTGAACACACCATGAACCATGAGCAGAACAAAAAGACAACATACAGAATGGGGGAAAATATTTGCAGACAGTGCAGCCAACAAGGGATTAATCTCCAAAATATATAAACAGCTTCTATAGCTCAATATCAAAAAAACAACCCAAACAAAAATGGGCAGCTCTAAATAGACATTTCTCTAAAGAAGACATACAGATGGTCAAAAGGTACATAAAAAGATGCTCAATATCACTAATCATTAGAAAAATGCAAATCAAAAAACTACAATAAGGTATCACTTCACACCAACCAGAAAGGTCATCATCAAAAAATCCACAAGCAATAAATGCTGGAGAGGGTATGGAGAGAAGGGAACACCCCACACTATTATTGGTGGGAATATAAATTGGTACAGCCACTATGGACAACAGTATGGGAGCACCTTTAAAAACTAAAAATAAAGCTACCATATGACACTGCAATCCCACTCCTGTGCATATATCCAGAGAAAAACATGATCTGAAAGGATACATGCACCCTAGTATTCATTGCAGCACTGCTTACTATAGCCAGGACATGGAAGCAACCTACATGTCCATCAGCAGAGGAATGGATAAAGAAGATGTGGTATATATAGACAGTGGACCATTACACAGCCATAAAAAGAATGAAATAATGCCATTTGCAGCAACATGGATGGACCTAGAGATTGTCATACTGAGTGAAGTAAGTCAGACAAGAATATCGTATGACATCCCTTATATATGGACTCTAAAAAGAAATGATACAAATGAACTTACAAAACAGAAAGAGACTCACAGACTTAGAGAATGAACTTACGGTTGTGGGGGAGGGATAAGTTAGGGAGTTTGGGATGGACATGTATACACTGCTATATTTAAAATGGGTAACCAATAAGGACATACTGTATAGCATATGGAACTCTGCTCAATGTGTGTCTGGACAGGAGTGGAGTTTGGGGGAGAATGGATACATGTGTGTGTGTGGCTGAGTCCCTTCACTGTTCACCTGAAACTATCACAGCATTGTTAATCAGCTCTGTGAGTGCATGCATACTCAGTTGTGTCTGACTCTTTGCGACCCCATGGACTGTAGCCCACCAGACTCCTCTGTCCATGGGATTTTCCAGGCAATAATACTGGAGTTGGTTGCCATTTCCTACTCCAGAGGATATTCCCAACCCAGGGACCGAACCCACATCTCCTATATGTCTTGCATTGGCAAGCAGATTATTAACCACTGAGCCACCTGGGAAGCCTTAATCCACTTAATCAGCTATACCCCAGTATAAAATAAAAAGTTTAAAAACAAAAGAATTTTCCCAAGTTTTACTTTACCTGGTTTTAGCCGTAGTCCAGTCTGTTCTAATGAAGTTTAAAGTTTACATGTTTTTTTTCTTTCTTGTTTTTATGCAGTGTTTGATTCAACCAACTTAGGTTCTTATAATGTTTCCACTTTATTTTTCATTGGAATGCAATTAAACTCTATCAGAAGGCATTTAGCTAAATCAAGAATTGAGTAATTTTGAAGGCCGAATAAAGCATCCTTTAAGCATATGATGTACTTCATTTTTCACTGTGGATAAGAAGGAGAATAATCTCTATTGCATTCCTGTGGATCATGGTGAACAGAAAAACAAGGAAACACAGGGCCAGCCCAGTGACCCATGATCCTCATGTATAAACAGAAAGAAATACACCAGTCTGAAATTTATTAGCCCCTAAACTTATTTTTACCTGGTGTTTATCTTTCTGTACTCTGTACATTTTGTGCCTTTACTTCTACTTCAACATAGATTTTGTTGCACATAAATACGTAAGGGTATAAATAGTCCAAATTAAGATTAACCCATTGGCATTAACAGTTTACTCTGAAAAGGGCTGTAATTAGGGCAACCATAGAATTTATTGGGTGCATGTGCCAGAATTGCTGGGTGAGTGTGTATCTTGGTGAATTTATCTTAAGACTTTTGAAATTCTACAAATGAATCTTAAATTTTAAAATTGTTGCAGGTAAAAGAGATCCTTTTTATCTTTGCCACTATTGTAGCTATTTGACTTGGGGCTGAGTTTCCACATCTCTGAGGTTTCCCGCTCTGTAATTTTGGGTACCATTTCATTCTCTCTAATCCAGGTGATGACAGAATTTCCCGAGCTTACTTGACAGTAAATTTAGAGAGAGCCTTTTGCTAAAATTTCAAGTCCTTCCCCTGTCTCCCCTCATGATTTTGATTCAGAAGGTCTGAGATAGGGTCATGGAATCAGTAATACCCTCTCATCCTTATCTGGCTGCCTGTCCTATATTCCCGTATATTTAACAGGCACTCCCAGGTGATCATTTTGATCAGCAAGTTTGAGAAATAGTTAAAGGACAAATGTGAAAGAGCCGTGAAAGATGTCATGTCTTTGTAGTAGAGGCAGAGGGTGCTGAGCACTGAGCCCACACTCCTCCGAGGTCTGCCTGCTGATGCACATGGCAGCACACGTGAACCTTGAGCAGGTTATGCTGGATGGGAGAAGCCAGTCTCAAAGACCACATATTGCTTGATTCCATGTGTATGAAGTGGCCAGAACAGGCAGGTCTACAGAGACAGGAAGTAGGTTAGTGGCTGCCCAGAAGTAGGGGCAGGAGAGTGACTTCTGATGAGTTTTCATTCTTTTGGGGGCCTGATGAAAATGTTCTGAAATTAGATGGTGGTGATGGTTGTACCACTCTGAATATACTATATACTAATATAATATACTCTGAATATACTAAACACCACTGAGCTATACAGTTTCAATAAATGGACTCTGTGGTATGTAAAATGTGACAGTAAAGCTATAAAAAAATATATATAAAACTAATCCTTGTTGCCAGTTTAAAATATTAATTTTAAAATTATTATACTTTACAAAAAATGGAGAGACTAAAATAATAAAAATGTGACTCTCTATATGCTTTCCTCATGTTGATTCTAAACCAAAACATTTTCACCTAGTACAATTCTGTCAGAAAAGTGAGCTGATTTGTAAGAGTTAATGCAGAAGTCTTAAAAATACGTAAAGCTTCTGATAAATTCACTTTCCAAATATTGGCTCTTTGGTCTGCCAAGGACTCACTGAGAAGTCTCCTTCCCCGCCCTGCAGTGGAGCAGAGTCAGCACGTGGGCGAGACTGGGCCGTGAGCACTGTCTGCCCTGGCGGCATCGAGCACTGTGCCATCCGCCCACGGAAACACGCTCTCCCCTGCAGGCCTTCTTGTGGACACATGTGCACACCGTCCCCCAGATGGGCCTAAGAAGCATGTCCGTAGGTGTCAAGCGTCAGGGGAGCAAAACTTTCATCTGTCGCCTGGCACATGACCACTCCCCACCCCAGCCTGACTGGAAAGGAGGCATTTTCCAGTGTGAGAAGAGCAGGTTTAAAGCCCATGGACCATGGTGGGTTTTTTTGTTTTTGTTTTTCTTTAAAGACAGATTTCTCCTCCTTGGGAGAACATTCAGGAAGGTCAGTTTCCCTCCACTCTTACAGTCTTTAGACACTCGTAAGCTTTTTATCAACTTTCTTACTGTTTTTCTCTGATTGATGTAAAAAAGAATCATTAAAAAGAAGAGATGAGTGTGAAATGAAATAAATGAAATGAAATCTTTAAAACATGACTCTTTTTATAATCTAAGCCCAAAGCACATTACTATTCTTCTGATATTCTTTGTAAAAGCATTCTAAGTATGAGATTCTGTGGAATTGCATGCAATGCAGTGATTTCCATCATTGCTGGGACCGAATTCAAGCAAGTGTTGGAGTAATCAGCTCTTAACGCCAATCCTGATATTGATGCCAGAGCTCTTCCATGTATTTATGCAAAAGATATGAAACGATGTAAGTGTCTCTATTACCTAATTTTTATGTGTCGAGAGTCTGCTGATCTCTAGCAAAATGAAGTTGAATTAGATACCATTAGCAATGTTTTTATAGTTATGGCTATCAAATAACTTTATTTTGGCTACAGGCAAAGATTTATTTGACCTGTAACTGTACTTAATATGTAGTAATGCAGTTTTACTTATTTTAAGTATTAAAATGGCTGTTTGCCTGTAACATGGTGTGCTTGTTCCTGGTTTTCAACTTCAGAAGTCCTCTGTAAACAGTGAAAACCATGTGCTGGAATCTCCAGAGTAGGTGGAGGCTTTTAGAACATTCTGCTTCTTGAGCCAAAATTCCATCGTAGTGCCTGAAGATTTATTCCTCCCTGCCCAGAAAAGCCACCGTGTACTTTCCATCCTTTCACACTCGCACCACAAAGCAAGACAGCCTCACCTCTGAATCTACCTTTTTGGCTGTTGTTTTATATGAGAATGTGAATATGTATGAAATAGCTCTGAAAACAGTAAGAATGAATTTCTTATGTATGTGAAAATATTAACAAATAATATGACTGATTAGGGGTTAATATTCCAAACCATATAAACAGCTCATTCAGCTCAATCTCAAGGGGGGAAAAAAAAAGGACAGGAGACCTAAATAGACATTTTTCCAGAGAAGACATGCAGATGGCCAACAGGCATATGAAAAGATGCTCAACATTGCTAATCATCACAGAAATGCAAATCAGAACCACAATTAGGTATCACCTCCCACCAATCAGAGTGGCCATCCTCAAAAAGAACACAAATAACAAATGCTGTCAAGGAAAGGGAACCCTCATATGCTGTTGGTGGGAATGTAAGTTGATGCAGACACTGTGGAAAACAGTAGAGACTCCTCAAAAAAAAAATAAAAATAGAACTGCCATATGATCCAGCAGTCCCACTCCTCCTGGGCATGTATCCAAAGAAGAAAGAAACACTAATTTGAAAAGATCTGTACATATGTAGCAGCACTATTTACAATATCCAGGACACGGAAGCAACCCGAGTGTCCATCAGATAAAAGGATGAAGATGTGGCATATACATACAGTGAAGTACTACTCAGCCATAAAAAATGATGAACTTTTGCCATTTGCAATAGTATTGATGGACCTGGAGCGTATTGTGCTCAGTGAAATAAATCAAAGACAAATACTGTTATGTCATCACTTATATGAAGATCTAAAAAGTAAAGCAAATAACAGACTCACAGGCAGAGGGAACACACTAGTGATTACCAGGGTGGGTGAGGGCAGCAGGGAGAGGCAAGATGGAGGTAGGGGATTGAGAGGTCCAAAGTACTCCGTATAAAATAAGCTACAAGGACGTACTGTGCAGCACAGGAAATACAGCCAATATCTTATCCAAATTATTAAACACTGGTATATATCTGAGACTAATATTGTGCATGAACTCTACCTCCGTTTTTAAAAAGTGGGGGAAGAGGACTACCAGAAAAAGAATCCTTGTATTGCAGTGAATTTCCCGTGTCCCAGTGTTGTTGCTGTTGTCAGATGGACAGTGGTCATGCCTCTCATGTACATCAGACTTCGCATCTCTTACTCTGATGCCTGGTCTCTCTCCTGGGGGAGCCCGTAAACAAAGGGTGTAAAACCCAGCAGCCTGGGTGAGAGGCGCTAAAGAAACCCCAGCAGAGCGTCCTGGGTGTGAAACACCACAGTCCCCTCTCTGACTCAAGAGAAGTGTTTAAGGAAGTGAGACAATGTGTTCTACTAGGAGCTCTGCCTTTTCTTTTTAGCCTGAAAATGAATTTTTTGTAACAGAATGTACCCCAAACTTTTTTATCAGCCAAGATAATTTCTTTACCATTTTCTAATTAGTGATACTGTTTTGAAAAAATGTTTGCGAGAAGTTCATTAAGTACATGGTTTCTCCATTTTTGATCATCAAATACCTATACAAGTACCAAGCAAAACTTGTAATCAACGTGAAATAACAGGGAGCGTTTTATGTGTTTGATGATCTCATATCTCATATTATAATAGACCTAGTATTAAAATCTGGTTACTAGTTTATCAGCAACAAACAATCATTCCAAAATAGTGGCTCCTAAGCTTACCAACATGGTCATAGATGTTTCTGAAATTTATATAGTTGTATTCACAGCTAGTGTTTTTTGATTATTAATGCAAAAATAAAATCTTGGTAATTTATTAACAATAGATAATAGAATTTGTCCCCAGTAAGTTTATAATCCAAATGTAAGCATCCCAAACTGCAAAAAGGCACATCTAAAGGTTTTTTTTTTTTAACCTGTCTTGTGAATTCTCATACACTTGTAATTGTACTGAAGGGCCTTTATAGATAATTTTGAGAACAAGAAGGGAAGTTAGTGATGCACATATCTTACAGAAGAAATAAACAACATACTTTTCAGTGTTCTGGATGTGTAAAATGGCTTGAGGTTGTCTTCAGAAAAAGTTTCAACCAAACAAGCAATGTGATTGCTTTAGAATTTACAGTAAATGAGAGAAAATGAGGTCAGTATAAAGAAGATGGTTAAAAGCCTGAGTTTTAATCTGTTACCCAGTAGGAAACTGTTAAAAGTAACATCACTTTAGAATGAACAGCTGTGCTGGCCACCCTTTAGATCTGACTGGGGAGCTGTGAACTTAAGAACTTTGCAGGGTTTAAAAAGGTAGCATTCTGAAACGTGTATATGTTTATAATCAATTAAAGCAAAAGGAGACAGATTTTAATAATCATGTAAGGAAAGAATTTGTGTTTGGCACAAATTTATTTCACTTGGACAGCTATGATAGGTCAGAGGCCATTAGAAGACCCCATGTGTTTGGAGCGGAGTGACAGTGAGGATGAGTCTGACATACAACTGCAGTGTTCGTGTTTAGAGTTCTCTGGCTTGTAACTTCTGTTTAAAGATCTTAGCTAAAATTGCCAGACTTATATTTTTTATAAACTTGTTTTGTCTTTCAAGCAGTTTTCTCTCTTAATGGAAGCCGAGTTTTACCAAGGTATTATAATATATGGGCACTCAGTAATATTTCCTCTTTGCTGTAGGTAAAAGTTCTGTCAAGAGGCTGACAGATAAGGTAAGCAATGGAGGGGAGATATCTCTTTAAGATGGAAAATTAACTTTTATAAATTACTTAATTTATGAAAGATTTTAATATGTGTATTTAAAGGATATCGAGGATACACTAGCAGGAATCAAAAAAGCTGGTTGTGGATCAACTTTTTTTAGAGACCTCGGCGATAAAGGTAACTTTGGTTTGTTGTTAAAATTCCAATTGCATTTTATTTAACAGAGACATTATTAAGGAGTTAAGTTATGAGGTTTGCACCTATAAATTGGAGAATATATATTAGAGAATCTACAGAGACGATGTTATAACACTGTGTTCTTTAATAGATTTTTTTAAAATCACAATAAAGTACTCATTACATTGGAAGTAATTTTCACAAACTCTTAGAGCAACTACAGAAAAAGTATTTAAACATCAGTTTTATTAAGCCTGGGGGAAGGATGAGGCAGAGCCTCTGAAGTACGAAGAGAAGGCCTCGGAGAGAATGCGGAGGCCTTGTCAGAGAACCAGCCCCAGCCGGAGCCAGGAAGGGTCCTCACTGAGAGTAGGCTGGGCTGTGGTCCTGGGGGGTGGTGAGGGCAGGTCTAGTGCTGGGCGGGTCCTGGAGGCAGCACTTGGAGAAGGGCGCCTGGTGTGAGCAGGATGCCCTGGGGGCGGGGAGCCCTGGGAGATGGAAGCTGAGGAGGCCTTGCTCTGTGTTGAATGAAGGGACTGGAGGCCTCTCTGGGTGTGTGGGGTTCTGCGGAGTGGGTGGGGGTGGGGAGGTGGTCTGCAGAACTTGGAGGAGGGTGGTCCTTCTTGGCGGAGGACCAGCTCTCATTCTGTGAAGGGCGGGCCTTCCACTGTCCTTAGCTGAGGACCAGCTCTTAGGTGCATCAGGACTCAGCCGAAGGCGTTTCCTGAGGAGGGGGATTTCGGAGCATCCACAGCAGCATTTGGGTGGAAGCAGGTTGTGCAGTGGGTTGAGTCAGAAAGGGGGAAGAAAGACCAGCTGCAGACATATCAGCCGAGGACAAAGGCTGTTTGGCAAGTGGGTTGTGATTGTGAGGGCAGCTGGGTGTGAGCCAGAGTGAGCGGACCTGACTTACTCCGAGGGTGAGAGGGAGGGAGTCTGGGCCTGTCCTGAGAGCAGTGGGGTGTGGGTGGGGTGTTGTGAGAAAGCCCTCTGGGCGGAGGGAGCTGAGGGGCTTTAAAGGGAGGACTAGGTGACAGTAGAAGAGGATGACAGCACTCACGTCAGAGTGGGAGAGGAGGTGCGCTGGGCAGTGGCTGGAGGCGAAGAAACCTCACTTCCTGCCATCCACACGGGGGTGTCTTAAAAACAGCCAACAGTAAGGAATAGAATTGGCTGGTGACAAGGAAGGTAAGCAGAAACGCATGGTGGTGAGGAATGGGAAGGAGCGTGAACAGGCCCAGTGAAAACAACCGCGACCTCGCCAAGTGCTGCCACTTCTCCAGGCGCCAGCGCCCTTACCACAGGCTCTGTTGACCATTGGCTTCCCTGGTGGTGCAGACAGTGGTCTGCCCGCAACGCAGGAGACCTGGGTTCAATCCCTGGATTGGGAATATCCTCTGAAGAAGGGAATGGCCACCCACTCCAGCATTCTTGCCTGGAGAATTCCATCGACAGAGGAGCCTGGCATGCTACAGTCTGGGGGGTCACAAAGAGACAGACATGACTGAGCTACTTTCACTCCTGGGCATTAGTGCTTCTCACCCCTCTCATTGGAACTCAGACACAGCCTTGAGCTCTTTCTCTTTGTCCTCCCATCCTTCATGGGCAAACAGACCCCTTTCTAATTTTGCCTCCTAAATATTGATTAAATTCGTCCTCTCCTCTCCCACCTCTTAGAGAAACTAACAGGAAACAGAACAAGAAAATGTGAGAGAAGGACTTTAACAGTTTTTTTGTTGTTGTTTTTCTCTGAAATACATGAGTTGAAATGCACATTCCAACTTAAAGCACTGAACATTTTATAGGAAAGATTCAACAGATACACTTTTTTCCAGATATACCCCTTTGTTGATATGAATGAAGTCATTTGAAAATCAGAATGTAAAATCTAGCTACATTTGGAGCAATTTGAAATATTCTATTTTACCACCTAAAAAAACTTATCAAAATGCTTATTATACTGTAACTAGCAAAAGATAATGTACTTTTGCTAGTATACTACAGTTTTTTGAGGTAAGAAAATAGTCCACCTCCAGGCATTATTATAAAGAAAAGTATAAGTTAAATTATGTATTTTTTTAAATTGAGAATTCTTAATATAATGCCATCCTCAGGAATATACTGAATATAAATTATAAGGTATATTGTAAGATACAAATATGTCCCTATGATTCACATAGTAATTTCTCTTTGGGGAACAGAGTTCTCAAAATTGCTTTCAGTAGCAGGTCGTATTTTTCAATGATTCCAAATTTAAAATATTTGTAGAGAGGCATAGTAACTAATAGAACTTAATCACCTCTTGAGACTAGTGGCCCTTAAAGATTCTTTAATAAATTTTTTAATGTAAATTATTTAAAATTTCTATTTGACATGCAGTTTTGAAACATTGCCATTTAACAGCATTTATTTTACCATTCAGTATAACAAACATATATTAAACAGTTTCTCCTATAAATATTCAGAAGTGTCAGTTTTCCTTAAAAGCATTTTCAGAGGCAGCTGCCTAGAATGCTGTTGGAGAGCTGTGTTGTCTATAATCTGTCTTGAGAGTGTAGGCTGCTGTTTTTACACTGTCTCAACTGTGTTTATTCAAGCATTTTATTTAAGTCAGTATTTCAAAGAAAGACTCTGGAAGTTTCTTTTTCGAAAAACCCCCTCCCCACCAAACACAGGACACATACCTGTGTCTCGAGAAAAGAAAGCCGAGGTTCCCCTTTGGCACCAAGCCCAGCTCAGTCCATCAGCCTGGTCATTTTTTCACATTGCCGTATTCCTTTGAAAATTAGAGAGAGAAAAAAAAACTGTTCACTTCTTTTGAGGCTGCCAAGGGATGAAATACTTTGATCCTTCAACTAAGATTAGAGCATTTCTCTCAGGTATGAGATATGACAAAACACACTTAATTTATTCTCCATTCATGTAAACACTGAATGTTTTTAGGGAAAAATACCTGGAGACTTACTGTGGGCTTTTTTATTAAAGGGAAGTACACCTGCTTCAGAATAAAAACATCGGAAAAGTCGGTGATGTAAAAACCTCTAAGTCATTAAGAGCATTTAAAATATATACCTGAAGTTGCCCATGAGCTGAAGCAGTGGACCGCCTAAGTGGTCAGAACCTCACCTGAGTGGTCAGACCCTCAGCCACCTTACTCTGCACGGCTCTCACCCCACGTCTCAGCTGTGCTCTCTGGAGCCCTCGGGGACAGTCTCCCTTCACAGCAGGATGTGCCGGACTGTCACTCTCACACCCCTCCCTTCCTCGTCTCCAAGCCACCAGGCCGCCGCTGCACTTCCTGGGGACTCTTTGGCAGGCACACCCTCGCAGACAAGCCCTCGCTTCTCCTGGCTCACTTCAGCTGCATCTCCCCTGTGCACACACGTCCGCTTCCCCAACCCCGGCATCACTGCAGGTCTACCCATCGTTCAGAGGCCACCGTTAAAACTGCTTTCTCTGTGACTCTCCCATCATCTCAGCTCTGGAAACTTCACCTTTTGTTTAAACCCTGTATAACTCTTAACTGTCTGTGTCTCTTGGTGGCTTTTAGTATTTCCTGTAAACATTTGCCTTCTGGACTCTCGGTGAAAGTACATAGCACTATATAGTAAGAATTTCTGCCAAACTTGAATCTCAGCTCAGCTCTGGATCTGAATACCAGTTTGTCAAGAATACAGATGTTAGAGGAACATGTGAAATGACAGCAAAAAGATGCAGTTCACAAAGTCTTCAAAACACTTAAACTTTACAGGACAAAGGACCAGGCTTCAACAGTTAAGCTGAAACTGAAGGGGAAAAAAGGTGAGGGAGAACCTATAGATGAAAATCAAGTTACGGCTATAGAGATTAGTTTCTTCATTTTAAAGATACAGTTTGACTTTTGGTGTATTGAAATCTCTGGCTTTCTCCTGAATTTGTGAATTTGCTTCACTTGAAATGCTATTAATAGTAAAATTAAAGTAGAAATTACACAAATTGACATGCAGGTGAAACCTCCAGTGGACACATTCACCTGTTGGCCAGCGACCATTCCCCTCCTTCCTAGTAACAGTGTCCTAATAAACCTGTCTCCTTCTTTTTAAGCGTTAGTACTGTATTTAACTCTCTTACGAAAACTTTCCACTGTAAGAAAGAGAGGTAGTTTAAAGTAAAAATGTGTGTGTGTTTTGATTGGGTGGAGGCTCCAAGAAGCATGTGTTTGGTTACTGATGATGCTGTGAAAGTGCTCCACTCAATATGCCAGCAAATTTGGAAAGCTCAGCAGTGGGCACAGGACTGGAAAAGGTCAGTTTTCATTCCAATCCCAAAGAAAGGCAATCCCAAAGAATGCTCAAACTACCGCACAATTGCACTCATCTCACACAGTAGTAAAGTAATGCACAAAATTCTCCAAGCCAGGCTTCAGCGTACGTGAACCATGAACTTCCAGATGTTCAAGCTGGTTTTAGAAAAGGCAGAGGANAGTCAAGGCTATGGTTTTTCCAGTGGTCATGTATGGATGTGAGAGTTGGACTGTGAGGAAATCTGAGCACTGAAGAATTGATGCTTTTGAACTGTGGTGTTGGAGAAGACTCTTGAGTGTTGGAGAAGACTCTTGAGAGTCCCTTGGACTGCAAGGAGATCCAACCAGTCCATCCTAAAGGAGATCAGTCCTGGGTGTTCATTGGAAGCACTGATGTTGAAGCTGAAACTCCAATACTCCGGCCCCCTCATGCGAAGAGCTGGCTCATTGGAAAAGACCCTAATGCTGGGAGGGATTGGGGGCAGGAGGAGAAGGGGATGACAGAGGATGAGATGGCTGGATGGCATCACTGACTTGATGAACATGAGTTTGAGTAAACTCCGGGAGTTGGTGCTGGACGGGGAGGCCTGGTGTGCTGTGACTCATGCAGTCGCAAAGAGTCAGACACGACTGAGCGACTGAATTGAAACGATCTAAAGCTGATTATCTGATGTTGGTGTTTTCTCCCTTTCAGGGCTAATCTCCTACACTGAGTATCTCTTCCTGCTCACGATTCTCACCAGTAAGTGCCCCACAGTTTTGCTTACTGATCATGTGAATCCTCTCTCCCAGTGTGGGAGGTTTGGATTCACCTTTCTATCGTTAAGGGTGTGGCTGGTGCTGCAGTTTCTGTGCCTGCAAGGCAGCCCTGCTGGGAGGTTATCCCCCCACTGCTCTCTCAGAGTCAGATGCAGCCTTCTTGAAGGAATATGAAACATGCCTCCTCTGACATTCTACAGAATCCCTGACCAGTAACTCCTCTAAGTGCCAACGTCATGAAAATCAAGGAAAGATTAGGAAACTTTCTGAGCTCAGAGGCGATAAGGGGACGTAGCAGCTAAATGCAACAGGCTTTCTTGTGTTTGATCCTAGAATAGAAAAAACATGAAATCCAAATAAAGTCTGTAGTTTAGTTTAAAATGCTACACCAGCGTGAATTTCTTAGTTTTCACAAATATCCTGTGGTTACATAAGATGCTAACTTTAGAGGAAGCTGCGTGAAGGGCCCCTGAGAGCTCCCTGGACCAGCTTTGCAGTATTTCTCTAAGTCTGAAGTTATTTCAAAATAGTTTTTGCAAAACCCTACTCTTGAGAAAGGGAAATAGAGTAGTAATCTAGATGTGGGTTTGATCCTGGCTTAGTAAGATCCCCTGGAGGAGGAAATGGCAACCCACTCCAGCCTTTAGAATCCCATGGACAGAGGAGCCTGGTGGGCTACAGTCCACAGGGTCGCAAACAGTCAGACAATACTGAGCACATGGCACAAATGACAATCAGTGTGAAAATAGCCAAAGTTTGTAAGGACATAGGAAGGCCTCTAGCAGAGCTGAAGAAATAAATGAAGTTCTCAATTGGATTTTGCTTTTGAAGGGCAGAACACTTAACAGAACAGCGCACCATGGACACGTACCAGCCTTTGAGAATTGTCATCTATCCTGAGAAGGAATTGTTGTTTACTTTAGGTGCTTGCTTGTGTTGTTTCTGGTGGCTTGTTTCAAGTTTGAGGACCTGTAGATCTTCATATACTTGCATTCCACCAACATGTATGTAATGACGTGCTCACTTTAGTAGCACATACACCAACATTTATATGTTGATTCATTTTTCATTTGCAGAACCCCATTCTGGGTTTCATGTTGCATTTAAAATGCTGGATGCAGATGGTGACGAGATGGTTGAGAAAAAGGAATTTTTTAAGGTAAGTAGATTCTAGTTATTTTTGGTTTATCATAAAACACCTGAAGGCTTGCGTGGTAATTCTACATTTCTATTAAGATGAAAATATATCCACTGCCAACATATGAAGTGTCAAAAAATTATACATACATTCAAAAATACTAAAATTTCTGTAATACAGCCTTGAGGAAACAGTTACAGAACAGGGATAAGATTCTGGCAGGGGAAGTGAGCTGAAGTGCCTACATTTTGTAGACTTTTATTTTTATGATTTCAGCAAATGATAATACAACAGAAAGGGCTTCATAGATAAGTAAAAAATTGGTGTTACATCCCACCAAAAAACAGAGTAAGAAAAATAAAACTTGAAGCCTTCATGAAGAATATGAGGGAACAGTAGGTATAAATTGGTGCGAATTTTCTAGGAATTTGTGCAGGCTCATAATTGAAAAGCTGAAAATATGCTTACATGATGTTTCTCAAGACATAACTCTGTAACATGGCAGCAGTAAATCTCACTCCACTCCAAGGAAGTTGGCAGTAACGTTCAGAAGTGCGTCAGTGCATGTAAACAGTGGGGAGTGTGCCAGGCAGAGCTCGGTTTTCTTCATCTAGAGGAGCACTTTATGGAGAAAATACCTCCGCTCTTTGGTCTGTGCTTTTCTTCCAATGTACTAGGAAGAGAGAGAACAAAGCTTGTTGAAATTATATATAAAAGTGGAGTCTGTACTTACACCATTCAGTTAAGTAGCCAGTAGCACGTGGGACTGTTAAACCCTTGAAATAGTAACTGTGACTAAGAAAACTGAGTTTCTAAGTTTTAGTTCATTTAAAACTTACACTGAAAAACTGACATTCACTTCAGGTATTAGCAGATTCTCAACTATGTTTGAAACAGCTTGAGTATGTGAATCTACTTTAAAATTTTTACCTTTATTTACTTTTTATTTGCTTTTTTATGAAACCTAAATGCAGATCAAGTACAGGTACACCCTGGAGAAATTGTGGGTTTTGGTGCCAGACCATCTCAGTAAAATAAAGCAAGTCACACAAATGTTTCAGTTTTTTAGGGAAGGTGGAAATTATACTATGGTCTATTAAGTGTGTAATAGCATTATATCTCCAAAAAAAGCAATGCACATGCCTTAAACTTAAACATATTTTATTGTTAATAAATGCTAACTATCATCTGACAATGCAGGATTGCCACAAATCTTCAATTTGTAAAAAAAACACAAAATCAACAAAGCACAATAAAATAAGGTGTGCCTGTATTTCCAATGAATATATTACCTGAATGTCTTGTAGTATAAAATACACACTGGATTTTGAAGAAAAAAGAAAGGAATGTAAAGTACCTTGATTTTTATATGGAATGTGTGATAAAGTCATAATTCTGAGATATTAATTTCACCTGTTTTTCTTTGTATTTTTGCTGCACTTTAATGAAAATGAAACTAAAAACTGCAGATGATAAATTGTCTTTTATATACAGTTTCAATCATTGGCTTCACTCTGAAGAAAAGTCTTTGGTTCTAAAATGGATGTTACTTACTTTAAGTATCTGTTATGTTGCTATCTTTATTTTTTCAAATAATTCCCCCAGTTAATAGACTTTTTAAAATAACTGAGCAGCTACTGACACTGGCTGCATTTGTGACTGAAACACAGAGCTGTTCACCTGCGGCTTCACTGCCTGCTCACTCACACGTTCATGGCATTCACTTTATTCACCTACTGTACACCCTCTCCCAGATGGTTTTTAAAGATGTTAAATATTTGTAAACCTAATTTTTATAGGATCCCAACTGATTTATCAATGCATTCCCTGCTTAAGATCTTTCTTGCTATATCCTTTGTTTCTAATCTTTGAGAGTTTCTTACACATAAAATCAACTAGTTTAGTAAATTTGTGAAGCCTGTGGATGGGCTCTTATCACAGGGATTTCCTGAGGGATCCTGTTTGCACTGGTTTGAAGCATCCAGCTGCTTGTGTCACCATATCCCATCTTGAGCACACTCACCTTGAAAGCTTTTCAGGTACTTTTTTTCCCAAGTACTTTTTTTTAACATAATAGTTCAACACTCTAAATTTACAGAACCACTTTCTGAACACTACATTTTTTTCTTAGATGTTTGGGAAATTCTTAGCATTTCCATGAATTAAGAAAACAAGAAAAAGAATTATGTTAGAATACATCACTGGTTTTTTCTTTTTTTTTTTTTTCAGTTTATAAAGCTCAACCTTCTAAGCCCATAAAAGGTTCTTTGTGCTGATCTCAGGAATGAAACACTAAACTTGATAACCCATGGAGCATGATAGTTTGTTGACTTAACAGTGTAGAGGAGAAAAAAACATGCTTACATTAATTATTTGAATAATTATTTCATTTCCATGATCATTGTATTAGGAAGCCTAGGTATATAGCATCTTCTGCTTGAAATTTTATTGAAAGAACTAACAACTCTTTCCAGGTCAGTAAAGCAGAGTTTAAAAGGCAGGATTTTGTGTGTTTGTTCCTTTTTCCAACTTACCTGAATGTTTCTCCCGTGAATTTTACTTGTTGCTCTTCCCACCATAAGTGCTAGAAAAGTAATGAAAATTACTTTAATACCCTAAACATAAATATAACAGACTGACTTGGAACAGCAGATGGAAAGTAATAGATTCATACAAAGTTTGTGAAAATGTCCCAAAATATAAAATTCTTAGTTTATGGACTTGTGTTATGTGGTACACCCCTATCTTATTACCATCCTGATCTCCTGGCTGTGTTGGTTGGTATATTGTTCACACCTTCATCCCAAGAGTGAGTAAAATAGCCACTCTGTGTATAAGCCAGTATAGCCAGTATCCACTCTGTCAGATATTAACAAACACCACCACCAGTGATCCAAGCTGGTAATAGTAAAGCAATTTAGTCTTTTGCCTTGATAGATGGTGCATCTGCTTATTGGGATAAGTGCCAGGATTTTAGTGCAGTTTCTTTAAACAGTAGGTTGATGACAAGTCTGTTTACTAGTGTGAATTTCTCCTTAGAGTGGTCCTCTGACTTCACATTTCTCCCACACTGGTGGGAAGGGCTGTGCTTCTAATGCAGTGAGGTTATCATTTTAGAATGCTACATATTCCTGCTCAAGATATTATTAAATGCAAAGACATTCAGTGGAAGTCACTCTTTTTGATTCTGGAATAGTGTTCGTATTCCAGAATTTAAATTCTCATGATCCATCCTGAAAGCAAAAATAAGTTAAATTGACCTATGTGTTACACTTTTCTTCATTTTCAGCCTGAAACTGAAAATATGGATCAGTATGAAGTTGGTCATTTTGGCTGTATTTTCTTAGACATTCAGAATTTGTGTTTGAATGTGTCCTCCTGGCTTTTTTCACCACTAATGTTAAAAAAAAAAAAGTACTTTTTTTTTTGTTTGTCTAACAAAGCACCTCTGTTTCTACCAGAAACTGTTCTTCCTCTGCCTAGAGGGCCTTGCCCCATTCCTTTCATAGCTAGTTACTCAGAGCTCCACCCATATGTCATATCCTCACAGAGAACTCTGCAGAAGAAGCCAGCCTGAACAGAAGCTCCTGCCCAGTATTTCTGAGTCCTGTTACTCTACTTCACTTTTCTGGTCACAGCACTTGACACTGTTTGAAATTCTCCTGTTTGTTCATTTGCTTGTTGGTTACCTCTGGCCCATTAGAACTTAATTAAGCTCAGTGAGAACAGGGACACTCTTTGTCCATGACCACTGTATTTCAGCACTTAGAACAGTCGTTTGAGCAGCACCTAATCCTCTGCAGTCATGACCCACATCAAGAATGACTCTCTCCACTTGACTTTAAGATACTTCAGAGCTACAGTGACACCGACACTATGACATTGCCCAAAGGATGGACAGGTTGACAGTGGAGGGTAGAGTCCACACTTATATGATCCCTTGATTTTCAGTATAGACACCAGATCAGTTAATGGGAAAAGCAAAGTATTTTCAACAGATGACAGTAGAACAAATGGATAGAATATATACATGGAAAAATTAGCCACAACCCCTCCCTCACACCATACACAAACATTTATTTGAGATACACATGTAAACATGAAAACTGAAACCAGAAGCTTCTGGGAAAGCTCATAAGAGAGTATCTTCAGGATGTGGGGTAGGGCAAGGAGTGGGGTGGGTGGGGCAGGGAGTGGGTAGGAGAAGTGCATCTGAACCAGGAATGACTGGATGCAGCTAACTGTGGAGGCCGTATAATGCATGTATGTTGGGTTGTTACAGGAGTCTCTGCTGTGTCTGAAATTCTCCATGAAAAAGTGAAAGTGAAAGTTGTTCAGTTGTGTCTGACTCTTCGTTACCCCATAGACTATACAGTCCATGGGATTCCCCAGGCCAGAATACTGGAGTGGGTAGCCTTTCCCTTCTCCAGGGGATGTTCCCAACCCAGGGATCGAACCCAGGTCTCCCACATTGCAGGAAGATTCTTTACCAGCAGAGTCACAAGGGAAGCCCAAGAATACTGGAGTGGGTCTTCTCCAGGGGATCTTCCCAACCCAGAAATCAAAACGGGGTCTCCTGCCTTGCAGGTAGATTCTTTACCAACTGAGCTATCAGAGAGGCCATAATAAAAACCTTAGGAGGTGTGGAAGAAAAAGCAAGAAATGTTTGGGTATTGAACTTGGCAGTATGTCAGTTGTCAATTTAAAAACAAAGGATAAAACAAGTTTTTCAGCTTTATTCCCTGAAATAAGTGGGGGGCGGGGGGGAGAATGTTGCAAAGTTTGAGGGCTTTAGAGAACTAGAGATACACCATTTGCCTAAATCAAATCTCATAGAAGCAGCTGCATTTGAGATAATTTGCAATTTAGTGGCAGCATTTTTCAAACTACTAACAAAGAAACAGCCTAGGGAAAAATGGGCAAAGGTTTGTCTCCTAATTGATTTGGATCCATAGTATGAGATTTTGTCTACATTTAATTAAACAAACCAAAAAAAATCTTTTTTTTTTTAATTTGCTTTCCATGTGAGGATTGGTACAAATGATTCTGAAAGGTAGGTAGGTTTTTTTAAAATGTATTCAGTCTGAAGGTACTATTGATAGTTTTATAATTACTAGAAAGATGTAGGCCCTTAAATTGTTTTAATGCTTTATAAATGCATTAAGAGAAAAGGGAAGAACATTTATAGGATATGAATAGCTTTTTTAAGAGCTGGGTACTTGAAATATGTCCATGAAGCATCAGAGATAGAAAAAGAAGAGAGGAGATAGGAAAAAGAGGAGATAGAGAAGAGAATAAAAATTCTCATGGAGATAAGGATAATCGTGTTTTTATACCTTAACGTGACGCTTTTAGACTGTATATTTATTAAGTAAGCCAGCTTTCTTAGGAAAAAAGATGATCCAAATTGTAATAAATGTAATAATATTAATAGTTGCATATCCATTTTCATCTTTGATTCTTGAGAAAAACTATTAGGAGTCATAAGGCAAAAATAATTTATTATTTAACAAATAACTAGTATACATTTTATAATAGAAACTTAGCATGTGTCTTTTAGGTTGTTTTTAAAAATCCAGTAGACCTGCACCTGAATTCCTGTTTGCCCTCTTCCTAGCTGCAGAAGATCATAAGTAAACAGGATGACTTGAAGACAGCAATAACCAGTGAAACGGAATGCCAGGTATTTGCAAATAAATTGAGTATTTCCAAGCAGATGTTGTTAGAGTAGCTTCTCCATCCCATTTTTTCAAATAAGGATTCCCAGATAGTTGGGGAAATTACCAGTAACTTGATTTTTCTAAGTATTTTAAATAGATTTGCCATATTCACATGATCCAGAGCTCAGAAGAGTCACCCAGAGTATGTGTACAGGGCAGACCCCTCTTCCAGTGACCCTGGTCTATGTCCCCACTTCAGGCTTTTCTCAACACATGCCGCCACTTCCCCTGGGCCAACCCTGGGGAAGGACACCTAGCGACCTGCATTGTGTGATCTCTGCCATGGGGACAGCACACCCTGGGCTGGAAGACAGGCCCAGGGCTTGGCTGGCTGACCAGCTCTCTGCCTGGCGGAGCATTAGTGAACTTGTCCTTGTGCCCACCCTGTCTGAACCCAGTTACCTTTCTGGCTCTGAGCTGCAGCTGTGGGGTTGTGACCCCTGTCCTGCAGTGCTCGCTGGAGGACGCAGTGCACTCGCTCTCCTGGGTTCCCATTTAAGGCCCTGGACCACAGCCCCATCTACCCTCCAAGCACATTTTTCTCTCTGGGTCCCAACTATCCCTCAGCTGAATGGTGCTCGAAGACGTGAAGTCACGGGAGCTGGCCCACCCACGCCAGCTGCCTGCCCCTTTATAGGCCAGGTTCTCACGAGTTCTCCCACTCCCACACAACAGTCACCTGCCTGCCACTGATTCTGGGCGGTGAGGGCAGGATTGAGGAACACCTGTATCCAGCCTGTCTTTCTCTAGCTGTTTTTTTTTTCAGATGATTTGGTTTAAATGTGTACCCCCTTTGTTGTTTAGTTGCTGCTGATCATCTTTTCAGCCGTTCTGATTTTTTATTTTTATTTTTTGTTTTATTGACACTGTGAAGGAGGAAGAGTCTCTGAACCTGCTTCTCGCTGTCTTGAATGAACTCCTCACCGGGGACCTTGTAATTAGGAAAAGCTAGTGTTTTTCAGATTTCTAGCATTCCGCAAAAGGTTCTAGACTTCCCTGCTTTAATTCTCCCAGTCCTGCTTCATTAGAAAGTGCCCAGGGGGCACGTTTTGAAATAACTAATACTGCTGTAAGCTCTCTTGTTGGCCTGATCCAGAGTTTGTTCTCTGCGGAGACCTCCTGAGTCCTCAATGTTTAGCCATGGGTGTTCGCCTCCTCTTGAGCACAGGTGGTACAGAACAGTGTTATGTGGAGTGAGGGGCAGAAGGGTTGCATCTGTTTTATTCACTTTGTTGTTGTTATTGTTGTTACAGAAATATTTTATAGGTATTGTCCTAGGAATTGTCCAGGTCCCAGGATCCATTTATGTTCTTGGTTATAATTTACTTCAAATTCTATCATTTTTTATAGGAACAAACAGTGCAAGAACCTGAAATTGACACAACACTTCAGATACGTTTCTTTGGAAAAAGAGGAGAAAGGAAACTTCATTACAAAGAATTTCGAAGGTAAATGCAAATATTTATGTTCATTTAGGGGAATTTTATAGCTAAGAAGTAAAGAAACAACTGAATACATGTATTTATGTACCAGAACTGCATACCATAAGACCAGATACTGTGTGTGGGTCTCTATAGTATCTCTGAGAGCAGAACCTATGAAGTGTAAACTAAAGTTACTATGCTCAAAAGACGTCAGTTAACCAGATAGAAATGGTTTACGCAGAGAGGGACTGAAGGACAGAGAACAGCAAGGAAGGACACGGAGACATGAGAACATGTGCCTTGTGCAGGAATCAGAGAGCCTAGGTCTGGGAGAAATAAAAGGGAAGGGTGGAGGTGAGGGCGGAGGCCCTGGGGCCTAGGGCTTGAGTTACGCCCATGAGGGAGGCCCTGAAGGGGGCCCGTGGAAGGTGCTGGTCAGATGGGCTTACTCTGGCAGGACAGGGGTAACAGCAAAGGAGGGATCCTGTGAGAGACAAGACACAGTTAGGAGATAAAATCACTGGGCTTGGTGATTGTTTAAAGGGAATAATTTCACTTAGAATTCTTTAAAATTTTTGAATTAGAGTTTCTGTAAGTAGTGGGCCCTGTGAAATTTGTTATACCATTATGCAGTTTTTTTTAAAAATGCAATAAACAGAAAATGCTTTAAATGCAGTTTTTCAGGAACTTGTCTGTTGGATGGAGTAGGGTACCCTAAAGTTAAAATTACAGGTATACTGAGCTAGAATTCAGTAATCTTTAAAATTTAAGCCTTTAAAATTTTTCATAAGTTGTAAAGTAATAACAGAAAATAGCTCCCATATATTATATGTTTTATATATATATGTGTGTGTAATATATTATAAACATATAATTTTGTAACTGCCCAAATTAATCCTAGAAATTCCACAAGAAGCTCTTTCAGTGTGAGTGTGGAGCTTTTAGTTTTGTTTCAATAGGACTGTGATGTTTCTATGAAAATCTTCCTTAGAAAGATGTTGCCTTTTCTGCCCTTTGTCTCAGCCTCCTCCTTACAGCCTGTCTGATGAAGGACACTGTTTCATAAAGACATACAGCTTGTACATCTCCAGGAAAGACAAGGAAGGTGACACCAAGAGACACTGTTGTGGAAGCTAATTACAGTACTGGTGTAGATATTAGTGTTCTCATTTAAAGAAACAGTATTGTATTTTGAAAAAGTATCTGTGATTTAGACAAACCTGAGTTCCAATGCTGAATTTGACAGTTTGCTAAGTGTGATCTGATGAACAAACGGTTGGAGACCTGCCGTATATTGAAACTCGTGGGATACTGCTCAGGGTGCCCACACTCCTGAGTGGGCAGGCACACACTTAGTTACAGCACTAAGGTGAAGCCACAAATCCTGACGTCCATCTCGTATTCCAACATTTAGGTTTATGGAAAACTTACAGGCGGAAGTCCAAGAAATGGAGTTCCTTCAGTTCTCTAAAGGTTTGAGTTTCATGAGAAAAGAAGACTTTGCAGAGTGGCTCCTTTTTTTCACTAACACTGAAAATAAAGATGTTTATTGGAAAAATGTGAGAGAGAAGCTGTCAGCAGGAGAGGTTGGTGTGCCTTTTTATAGTGCTTGTGATGAAGATGAAATGATAAGTTAGACATAACTGGTAGAATTCAGTAAAGTAGCTTCTAAACTAATCAAGACTGAGCAATTCTCTGTTATGTAATTATATGATGCATGAAATGATGATTGCTAAACTGCTAGTAATGAATAATGAACAGTGGTAAGATTTCAAGTGATTTTTTTTAATATTTATTTTTATTTATTTATTTGGCTGTGCTAGGTCTTAGTTGCTGCATATGGAATCTTTAGTTGCAGCATGTGGAACTTAGTTCCCAGACCAGGGGTCAAACCCAGGCTCCCTGCAATGGGAACATGGAATCTTAGCTACTGGATCACCAGGGACCCTCAAGTGATTTTTTTTTTTAACTTATTCCAAAAAAAATTTTTTTGACATGGGGATGTGTTTTTATATAATTTTTTTAAAGCTTTCTCTGTGATGAGGGAAAATATAATGAAATATAATGAAGGTCTCATTTATAATTACAATAGAGATATATAACAATTAGAAATATATTTAACAAGAAACATATAGAAAAACCTTTCAAACTTGGATAGAAGTAACTCATCTAACAGTAGAGACATCCCCTCCTTTTGAACAGAACCTCTTAGTATTATGGACATGGCAGTTGTCCCTTAAATAACCCCTAAGTACAGTGTCAGATCAACCTGCATGGCCTCGGTTTGCTGCACCAACACATCAGCCCTGGACACCCTGCAGCTGACACAGGAGAGCGACCTCCTCAGTCATGCTGCTCATCTGTGGTGGGCTGAGGGTAGGAGAACTACCCACATCCTTGCTCGGGGACCAGACTCTCCAAGGCTTTGCCCCCAAGGAGTACCACTATCTGCCAGAAACCATCCAGAAAAGAAAAGAGTGAACCATGTTCCAGCAAATAAATGTTTAGGCCTGGAGATGTCATACTGAGCTACTGGCTGGACTGATGGCCTGAAAGCCTAGTAACTGAAGGGAGGCAGAGCTGTGTGGTCCTGAGTGCGCAGGGCTCAGGGGAGCACCAGGTACCGTGACCACCAACCGACATCCATAAAACAGTCTCGGATTCTTGGGAGGGAGCCAGACAAGATACAAGTCTGTGTGACACTGCTCAGGGGGCTAAGGGACAGAGAAACCTCTGCACCTCCCCTATAATTTTGCTGTGAACCCAAAACTGCTCTGAAAAAAATTAAGTCTTTTTAAAAAAGAAAGCTGAGCTATTAAAATACAGTACCAAACATCAGAACTAAAACAGTGTGACTGACAATGAATTTGACAAATCAGTTGAACAGAAGATAAAGTCAGAGATAGATACAAATACAGAAATTTAGTATGTGTAAACTCAGATTATAAATCGGTTGCATAAAAAAAACTGAATAAATGGAACTGGGGTAATTCACTGGGTATCTGAGGGAGAAAATGAAGGTGACCTCTGCCTCACTCATGACTCAGAAATAAACCTGAGGTGGATCAAAGAACTAAAGTTAAAGAGAAAACTGAGTAAGTATGGAAGAAAACTTGGAAACAATCTCTGAGAGTGGGTATATGTACTAAGTAAAACCCAAAAGCCTTCTGTTGAAATTGATTAAATTACTGCATAAAATATAGAAATCTGTTGCCTTCCTCACTCCCCCCCAAATTATCAAAATCAAAAGGAAAAATTAACAAAACGAGGGAATTACTGGCATCACAAGTAATAGACCAATGTCTTTAATTTTTATAATGAGATCTTTAAAAATCAAGACCGCGGAAGGGGCTGACATTCTACCGTATTTAATTTAGAAAATGGGATCTCAGATATCAGCATATTAATTACTAATGGGGCCGAGATTGTGTCTCTTTGCAAGTTAGCCTATGTCACTTCCAACAGAAGACCCAAACCTGCCAGGTCAGAGCCAGAGAAGGTTATTGTCTGTAGTTTGGAGGCCGCCCAGGCACCACGTCTGTCTCCCAGGGCCCACGAGGTGGGTTTGCACCACAGCCGAGGAGCCTGGACCCTTCATAAGGGACAGTAGGTGCGGTTGCCCTTGCTCTGAGAGAGACAACTCTGTCTGCTCCAGGCTGTTCACTGTGCAGATATCCTGGAAAGACCCTGGAGTAGAACAGTGGCTGGGCCTCTGTCTACGAGATGTGAGAAGCTCGGAAGACCCACGGAGAATTGCCCCCCAGCATCAGGTCACCTGGCAGCCCCTCAGACACCGGAGCAGAGCACAGCAGGGACATGAGAAATCCACAAGTACCCAATGAACATAGATGTGCAGAGTGTTTAATTCACTCAGGACCTTTGAGGGGAGACAGCGAGCCTGTGACACACACCCCCAGCCTTGCACTCAAATGTTCACACCATGTTCAGTCTGCACAGGCACATCCAGGGCCCTGCACTTAATCTCTGAGGGTTCCTCCTAATCTCTAAAATCCACACATTTGTGCTCAGTTGGGTCCATCCCAGACTTCGAAAGTGTACATTCATAGACTTCATGATAGAAAAGAGGACTCACGGTTATATTCATAACATTGTTGAATAAATTTACAAAATTGTGATAAAAATTCACTGTTCTTTTAGAGCATTAGTTTGGAAGAGTTCAAGTCATTTTGTCATTTTGCAACCCACCTGGAAGACTTTGCTATTGCCATGCAGATGTTTAGTTTAGCTCATCGTCCTGTCAGACTAGGTAAGTTATGTGACTCACTTAATTTTTACTATGTATGAACACTGTCACCCTGTTCTTTAACTGATTGATAGCAGTCCAGGGACCACGTAACAGAAAAACAATTGATTGGCCTTTCAGTTAATCCAGTGTGGCCATTCTAGATTTACAACCATTTGCCAAACAATTTACTAACAGTTAATTTTGCTTTTACTTTCTTACTTTTCTCCCTGAGAAGGAGAAGGAAGTATTTAAATGTATATTCAAAACACTGATTAGATTAAAATAGCCTGCTGACGTTTCTCAGCCAGATTTATTATTTGAACACATTCTTGATGAGTATTTGTGTTGTTTTACTTCCCAAGTGATAAATATATAGAGTTGTTTTTACTTCTCAAATAATAAAAATTTAGACTATATTATGCAGTTGATGAGTTTTAATATTTTCTCCCTTCAGCGGAGTTCAAGAGAGCAGTCAAAGTAGCAACAGGACAGGAGCTGTCCAACAACATTCTGGACACCGTCTTCAAGATCTTTGATTTAGATGGTGATGAGTGTCTGAGTCATGAAGAGTTTCTTGGGGTGTTAAAAAACAGGATGCATCGAGGTTTATGGGTAACAGATTTTGAGTCTTTAAATTGCATGTTTATATGTAGTTAAATGAATGGAACTAAACCTAGAATTTGATCTAATGTATAGTCTTAAATGGGAGTTTTCAACATTTTTAAAGAGATTATAAGCAGTAATTACAACAAAAGTATCTCCTACAGATGGGATCCACCATTTTTCTTTTCTTTTTAAAAAAATATGAATCAGGAACCACGATTCCAAATTTTAATTTGGATGTTGTAGTTAGATACCAAGACCAAGCTCTAGCCCTATCGTGTATTAATTAGCAGATCTTGCAAAGCTGCTTAATTTTTCTGACCCTCAGATTCCTCATCTGTACAACAAGGAACCAATACAATCTACTGGAGAGAATTATTATAATACTTAATGTAGTGACTCAAACACTTGAAGTAAATGTCCACTATTAACATGATTCACTCAGATTCACATATTAGTCTATAACTGAGGGACAGATCAAACTTAGAATTTTGTTTAGATTTGAATCTGCTAGAAACACTCGTGAAAGCAGGTTGAAACATCGGCAAGTTGAAGACAAGGGTCCAGGGGTAAGTAGGAATTAGCCCAGAGGAGGTAGGAGTGAGAACAGGAGAGACTGTGGTGAGCTTACATCAACAATGCTATTCATTTAAAACTGAGAAGAGCATATTGATCTTCCTGCTACAAACATTATTTATAGAAAATGAACAGATGTGATTTCTACTAGTGATTTACAGGCAGGCAGCACCTCACAGTTAATAATCATACTCGTAGAAATTAAACCAGCCTTTCCAGTTAACATGTAACATACCCTGCAGCCTCTTTGCCATTTCTCAAAAACATACTGAAGAGAAGAGCTTCAAGTCAGTGAGCAGAAAAGGCCATAAATATAATCTGAAACCAACTGCTGCTTCCAGTGTTGGGTCTCCAGCAGTGCTGCGCTCTGTGGGCACAAAAAGCCAAGTGTTTTCTAACCTTTGCTTTCTCATTTAACTGAGATAAACAGTAACCACAAAGTACTTGTGTGAGTTATTTCTTCCTAAGGCTTCTCATCAAGTATATGGCGACCTGCGGTTTCTTTCTTTTTTGGTTTTAGTCAAGGTTAAGTCAAAGTTTTAGGTTTATCATTTTTATTCCACATAGCTAAATGAGGTTCATCAGAAAAAGAAACATTATAAAATATTATGAAAAGAAAACATGAAATAATTTCATTTTAAAATCAACATATGAAAGTTACCACAGTCACTATTCCCTTCTTGGGGAGGAAACTCCATTCTCTGGTTCCCCTGAGGCCACCCTTGCCTCACCTCACATCTCACCTTTTCCCTTTGGCTTTCACCTGTGCTGCAGGCATTTTCTGTGTCATCACTTCCAGGCCTTTCTGGAGGTGGGTGGGGAACAGGCACCACAAGCACATGGAAACGACGGGGCTGAAGGTTGCAGACACTGACCCTGAGTTTTCGTTTTGGTTGACAGGTGCCACAGCAGCTCGGCATACAAGAATACTGGAAATGTGTGAAGAAAGAAAGCATTAAAGGAGTGAAAGAAGTCTGGAAACAAGCAGGAAAAGATCTTTAATAGAAAAAGAGTGTGGGAATCCTATCGCTCTGAGCAATCAGAATTGGGGATTTCTTAGAATGCTAGATGTTTATCCTCCTAAGTCTTCATTGATTTCGTTTGTAATATAAAGATGCCTTGTATTGCTTTCTGATTCAGTCATTTCTTAGTAAGATTTCATTGCAGAACTTCGTAAAATGAAAAAAGTATTCTTTAATGAAAAGAGACGTTGACATCTGTCAGAAGGCCTAGAATTAAAGAATGCTTTGACTTTGGTAAGATGGACAACCTGGTCATGCACAGTGTCTAAGCTGACTCAAGGTCAGATCAACCTGCGAGCCCCAAAGCTCCTGGAGGTAGATTAAGTGACAGCATTTCAGGTTTCTTACCTGTCCCTTATGTCTGAGACTTCTTGTATATTTTATTTCAGTGAGCTGTAAATTAGTTGTCTTCAAAGTAATATGTAAATTTCAGTATTCCACCTGGCAACTATAAAGTATTTATAAAGATAAAAAAACTACTGAGGTGCATTTTATGTTGTTGGTTGGTTGGTCAGTCACTAAGTCATGTCTGACTCTTTGCAACCCCATGGACTGTAATCCCACCAGGTTCCTCTGTCCATGGGATTCTCCAGCCAAGAATACCCGGATGGGCTGATACTTCCTTCTTCAGGGGATCTTCCCAACCCAGGGATCGAGGCTGCATCTCTTAGGTTTCCTGCATTGGTAGGAGGGTTCTTTACCACTCACACCACCTGAGAAGCCCCATTTTGTTTTATATGTGCTGTTTAAAACTACATGTGTTTTTTTTAATGTAAATACCCCTGCTTCTTTAAATTAAAAGCACTGCAGCGCGGATGCTCCACAAGATGGCACTCTCGCTTTTCCAAAATACTTTATCTTCCTTGCGTACCAAGCATCATCTTTAACAGAACAGAAATACCCAGAAAATCACAGAACATTTCAAAAATGACTGACTTGTTGAAGGAGCAAGGTAGGAGGCTCTGTGCAGACATACCTTAGTTAAAAATTTAGCAGCTTCTAGGGAAATGAACACAGGTGCTACCATGGTAACCATTCACTTGCAGTCTGCGGTTGTGTCCAGTGATGAAGGAAGTTAATTTGCAAAATCTCCAGGTAACACGTAGTTGGGTGGGTTATGTCTTCAGCAGCATCAGGACCAAACCTCGGCCGAGCCTGCTCTGTCCCATGCCCTCTCCCAGGCACTGGTCCTCCTGTGGGCATGCTTTCTTTCCAATAGGATGAAATGGGAGCAGCACTGTTTATGATGTCTGGATTTACATATATTTAGACATTCAGTGTTGGGAGAAAGTGTTCATAAATAAGTCCTTTATGGTTTACAGAATATCATATAAGCTCTCCCCAATGACATTTTTCAATCCAGACAGAATTGAAGGAATTTTCATTGCAGCATCATTTCAAATATGCAAATCTGGAAGTAGCTTGAACATGCCACACCATGGAAGTGGATAAATCAGTTGTGCTCGACTGCACCGTGGAGTTCCAACAGCACTTACCATCATGAATGCACCCGATTAAGTTCTGTGATTTTGCTAGTTGCTAAGCTGTTGTCTCTGTTCCAGCTCCCCACCACACACACACACACACACACTGCCTTGTGGTGCTGGACAGGCCCTGCTCCATCTGCCACTGTCCTTCCAGCATCCCCAGACCCCAGCCAGCACCGTGGCAGCCCTCGGTACCAGTCTCCCGCTGTTCTGGCTGTTGTGAATGTCCTCGTGCTCCCAGAACCGACTCCTTGAGTCCTCCTGTGAGCCAGCACTGCCGGCTGGTGCCCCTCCCTGGGCAGTCTGGGCCTTGCCTTCAAGCTTCTGGACCCTAACACCCTGCCTCAGGGAGGGAGCTCTTCCTGCAGGTGCTTGCTCTGGGACCTCAGTTCCTCTGGCTGTTTGACTAACACCTGTTTATGTGTGTCCTTGTATTATGTTTTCTCTGTTGCAATATTTAAAGTGGCTCCTGACTGATAAAATGACCATATGCCAGGAACTATAGACACACAAGAGAAACTTAGATAATATTCACACTAGATAATATACACACAGGTAGCTGTAAGTTCATGTATACATACAAGTACGTATTACACATTTTTACATATACTACATTTATACCTGTCCATACACCTATGTATATAAAATGTCATCTAACCCTCCCACCATGAGACAGAAGAAACTTGAGTCTCAGGGTACTTAGAGAAGTCCCATAGTATTACTCAGCTAACAAGTGAAGCTGGGGCTGGAATCCACAATCACTGACACCACAACCCATCTTTTTCCCACTCTGCCTAAGTCAGTCTATCCTTCCTAGTGTTTCATGGTTCAATCCCTAGGCTGGTCTGCACATGTTTCTTCATGTCATAATATAAATAAGCTCTAACTATTCTAATAACACTAAGACCGTCACTGCTGTATATAGCAGTCTGTGCTATACAGGACTGCTTCTGTGATCAGAGTTACAAGAAGTTTGAGAAAACTGGGGAAAGCGTGCGTGCGTGCTCAGTTGCTTCAGCTGTGTCTGACTGACTCTTCGCAACCCCGAGGACTATCCCACCAGGCTCTGTCCATGGGATTTCCCAGACAAGAATACTAGAGAGGGTTGCTGTACCTTCCTCCACTGGATCTTCCCCACCCAAGGATAGAAACTTCGTCTCCATGGACACCACTAATTCCAGGTTATTTATCATTCAAGTATTCGATTCAGTGCCTCTTCTGAGCCCGCTACGTGCTGGGCTCACTTGGAAGCAAAAGAAACCTAGTCCCGCCTTCAGAAAGTTTATAGTTGAATGCGGGGCTCCTTGGCACAAGGCCTTTGTGTCGCCCACCCCTTTATTTACTCCTGTAATCAAGGAGCCTTCATTCAGCTTCCATGCCCTTTCCTGAGTTCAAGGGGGCAGATTCAAGCAGTTCATTAGGAAAGGGAAGGGATGCAGAGACCAGGCAGAAACAGTCAAGAGCAGCCTTGAGGCAAGGTCCTATTTCCCCATGAACGGAGACATACAATAGCATCTTTGAGCTATTCTGCACCTACTGAAACCCACTCCGGGTGGGAGAAGTTAACAATTAACCATGGTATGCTGCTCACGTAGGCCCCAGACCACCTGGACTTGAAGGCTGATCCATCAGAAGACAGTCCACAAGCTGATCATGCCCTCTTTGAAAAACCACCATAAGACCTCTCGCTATATTCTCCAAGTTGGGACATATGGTTTTGAGGGCAGGAGCCTGCTGTGGCCCTCTGTTTGGCAAAGCAATAAAGCCCTTCTTTTCTATGTCATCCAAAACTCTGTCTGAGATTCCATTTGGCAGCAGCATACAGAAAAGCTGAGCTTTTGGCATCAGCAGACTGGGGAAACTGTCTTTAAATAATCCTACAGAGGAGAGGCTGTGAGTGTATTATATGGGGGTTTAACATAGATTGCATGACCTCCAGGGCAGTCTCAAATGCTGACCCCACACACATACTCTTAAGAGCTTGGCATGTGCCCCTCTCCTGCCTGGAATGGTGTGTCCATTTTGCCTTTGTTTGGCAGAAACTTGTCAGTTCTCAATCCAAAGTAGTCACAGATCACAGCCATGGAGACTGTACAGCTGTGTAATTTTTCCTAAAAACCTGCTCTTTTCTGGTGGAGAGTCAATCAGTGTTCCCAGTGACAGCTGCCAAAGCCCAGGCTTTCCCAGTTTAAATGCAATCAGTAACACGTGCCTGGACTGATCCTAGAACCAATGGCCAGGACATTTTCTGGGGACAGATTCCAGACGTCTAAACACAGATCTAACCAAACCAGAAACTCCTGCAGTCATCAGAGTCAGGACTCTGTCATCCCACTGTGACAGCTAAACCTCTGAACTCCCTTCTTGGCTGCATCTCATTAGTCAACAAACAGATCATTAGTCAACTATGCAGCAAAGAAAACGGCCTGGTACAGCCAAGGTCCACTGATGGATGCTCCAATTAGTGGGAGAAACTTCAGAGAACCAGGATATTTGTATGGCCTCAAAGGACCTCCCCCAGGAGACTTAATAAATACTGTAATGGTTTGCACAGATGTATCTGATTTTCTCAGGTTTCCTCCAACCCCAGGATAGAGGCGAACAGAATAAGAGAACAAAAGCTGCACGTGGGCCAAGAGGTTGTCTCTGTTCCCCAGGCTCAGCACAGAGCCTGGTGCAGAGAGTGAATAAAGGAAGGAACAAACATGAAGATGGATTATGGAAGGCCATGCCTGAGCGTGGAGGGGAAGAGAGAGCAGATAGGAAGCAGGAGGGACAATGCAGGCCCAGGACTCACCAGCCATGGTGAACCCACAGGACAGTGACCAAGGAAGTGGGCCTCCAGCCACAGATGAGGGCTCTGTTACCTGAAAGAGCTCCCAGCCGCTCTGCTCACCTGCCCTCTCACATCCACCTGGTAACCACCGTTCTACCCTGTTTCTACAAATCTGACTACTCTGCACACCTCTTAGAAGTGTAGTTGTACAGTACAGTTGACCCTCCCAACAACAGCTGTGAATTGCGCATGTCCAATTATATATGGATCTTTGTCAACTGTAAATCTTAACAGTATTACAGTCCATGGTTGGTTCAATCCTCAGATGCAGAGGACCCTTGGATATGAAGTCAATGCTTAGTTACTCAATCGCATCCAACTCTGCAACCCCGTGGCCTGTAGCCCTCCAGGGGTCTACAGGAGGCTCTACAGGAGCCTCCAGGCTCCTCTGTCCATGGGATTCTCCAGGCAAGGCTACTGGAGTGGGTTGCCATGCCCTCCTCCAGGGAATTTTCCCAACCCAGAGATCAAAGTCTCATCTTCTGTGTCTCCTGCATTGCCCGGAGATGCTTTACTACTGAGCCATTGGGGAAGCCCTGGATATGAAAGGATGACTGTAACTTACATATGGATTAACGCTCTTGTTCCAGGGTCAAGGAACAAGACTTTTATGATTTGTATTTTATGATGTCTTTGTATTTGCCTTTTATGATTGGCTTATTTTACTTAACATAGTGTCTTTAAGATTCATCCATGTTGTAAACTGTGACAAGATTTCCTTCCTTCTTAAGGCTGAATAGTATTCCACTGTATACACACATCACATTATGCTTATCCATTATCTGACAATGGACACTTGGATTGCTTCCTTTTGACAACTGGGAATTATGCTCCAGTGAACATGGATGTACAAATACCTGTGAGTTTCTGCTTTCATTCCTTTTGGGTATGTACCAGAAGTAGAATTACTGGATCATGTGATAATGCTATGGTTAATTTGGGGCGGGGGGGAACTTCCATAATTTTCCACAGCAGTCACACCATTCTCTATTCCTACCAGAAAAACATAAGTTCCAAATTTCTCCATATCCTCAACACTTGTTATTTTCTGCTTTGTGGTTGTTCTTGTTTTGTAGTAGCCATCCTAATGGGGGTGATGTGTTCTCATTGTAGTTTTGACTTGCATTTCCTGGTGGCTCAGATTGTAAAGAATCTGCCTGCAATGT